TTCCCTTGCTGGCTGGGGAATTCTGGGAGTTGATGTCCACACATCTTAAAGTTGCCAAGGTTGAGAAACACTGTTAGTGATTGTAAATGACCTATTCATACTTCTGACATTGACAAGTGTGTCACTGAAAACTCTTTTGCCTTTCTAATAACTTCCTGTTTTCATAAATAAGGTAATAGAAATATTATGTAGTTTGACAGCTATGTCTCTTTAGTAATAAGATCTTTCTTTAATAAAATAAAGCTTTATTAAATTCTCAAAAATGTAAAAATGTCTTGGGTTTCTTTTAATTTTTGTTATGCTCCATAAAACCTACATGTAAATTAAATTTCAATGTATATATTTTTTTCTCATTGAGGATTCTTGGGAAATTGATAACAATGGTAAAATGTTAATACTTTATTTCCAGAACATTTATGCTTATGTTTTGGAGCATAAATAAGAAACAATTTGGTTAAGTAAAAGTTGCATATCCATTTATTGGCTTGTTTTCTCTTATTTTGATAGGAACCTCCAAAGCCTTCTCAAAACTGTTTTAAGGTTGGAATGAAGCTAGAAGCAATAGACAGAAAAAATCCTTATTTAATATGTCCTGCAACCATTGGGGATGTCAGAGGAGACGAAGTTTTTATAACCTTTGATGGCTGGCGTGGGGCATTTGACTATTGGTGTAAATATGATTCTCGAGATATCTTTCCAGTTGGATGGTGTGATTTAACAGGAGATGCACTGCAGCCACCAGGAAGTAGTGGTAAGAATCTTTATGTGTTAAAATTGTATGGTCTGTGCCTAAGAAGATTGATTAAGCTTTTAAAGTTGCATCTTTATGGTGTATATTCTGAAAATTAATCATAAAGTGCAGCCAAAATTTAAATACCATGAAACACAACAAAAGATATGTTGTTATGTTAAAGAATGTTAAGTAATAACTGAAGTAGTAGCTGGTTATGCTGGAGTTTGATTATATTGAACGATCTTAGTGTGGATCCTAAAATCGATACATAAAAATAATGTTCCGATATCTATAGAATTTTTTTTTTTAGGTGTGAACACAATTTCTTTTTCATTAATTTGTAGAAAATGCTTAGAAATAGCTTGTGGTCATGTGAGAACATCGGTATGATACTTGTGGAAATAATTGAATTCATTTATTTCTAGTCTTTCCACAAGGTATATAGCTAACTAGTTGAATTAGTGAAGAACAATTTAAAAAGTCACATCAGAACATTAAAATACAAAACCACTAAAAGCCATTTAAAAAGCAAAATTGCAAATATAGCTTATCTCCTTAGTGGAAAGTCAAGGGACTGAAACATCCTGCTTGATATAAGACATTAATTTAAACAGTTATTATTATTGTGCTATTGAAAATCTGCGCTCCTGTACACCAATTTAGCAATACTACAAATGAAGAAGTATACATTAGCATTATTTGCTTCTACTGTTTCTGGAGGCTGCATTAAATAGCCTTAGTAATTTCAAGCACTTTCAGTTTAAATTTTGTTATTTAAGTTGTTCTTTAGGACTGTTGGTAATGTATAAGCACAGGCTGCTGCATAACTAGACAGTGCACAAATGACCTGAAAAATTGATGTCTTAATTGTTTTGGTAGTGCAGCAAGAAACAAAATGTTTTGTTTGGATTGTGGAATTGAAAGGGCCATTATGATGTAAAGAAATGCCCTGGAAAGAACAAAAGTGTTTTCTGTCCTTCCCCTTCTGCATGCTTGGTATTAATTTGAAAGAGATGTGTCAATTTGTCTTTTTAATACACTGACTTTTTGAAACAAATTCTTCTAAAGTAACCAAGTTGTTTTAAGATTTTTGGTTCCTGTACTTCACTTGAGAAAATTTTGTCTACAGATGTATTGGCTGGTAGCTGAATTTCTTTGCATGGCTTTTCACTGCTTTCTAAATTCCTGACCTTCCCTAACCTTTGCTCTTCTCCTAGAGGCAGCGTGAAGGAAGTATAAGCAGGGGACTGACGGTCACTGTCAATAGAGCCCATAGACAATATGTAAATTGCTTTAACAGTTTCCAGTCCACTTTGTTCCTCCCCTTTCTTTTCCTCTTAAATCAACAAATGCAAATAACTTTCTCCTGATTTGCTAGAGCAATATTTCAGACTCTAGTAGTCAAGCAGCATTTTCCCCCTCAGGCCTTATAAAAAAAAAGTTCCTGCTAGTTTGGTTCTGAATCTTCTTAGTGGCTAACATATATGGTATTTACATTTCTGGAATGTAAAGGTAGGAAAAAGAAATATTTATATGGCATGTTTAGGAGATTAATTTATTATATCTGTACCTTTGGAATAGCAGTGACCCAAGAGGAGAAAACGAATGCATATATGTGTATGTAAAAGTTTGAAAAAGTTTGAAACATACCCTTTCTATACCCTTGACGTTGAAAATTGTTCCTTTTGTATTTGTGAAATTTGTTGGTCTATCAGCTTTTGACATTTTAGAATAACCCAGCTAAGACAGTAACCCACACCTCTTCCTATGTAACCTATTAACAATTGGTATTTATTTAGCATAAATGCTATAAAGAAATCAGTCTTACAGTATTTTAAACAGATTTATTACATTGTTCCATGGATGTACTGTATTTGTATGCATCTGCCTAGTGTAATGATTTCTTGTACATTTGCTGTTTTGATTTTGCTTGTATGATAACCATTTTTAAAATTGAGGTAGTTATTAAAGATTAAGTTTATTCATGTAGCTTATAATGTATTTCTTTTCCCTGCATGTTCTGTGCGTACAATGAAATCTGTACTTATTTTATCAGTACTGCAGACTACCAAGCAAAGCGGTCTATTAATTATAGATAGCTGTCTCATTTAATTTTTTTAAATTTTTCAAATCTAATGTCAGATTATATAAGGTGAATGATAATTAAATTCTGATTGAATGAACTTTATGATCTAATCTTAATCATGCATTTTGATATGAAGCATTTCTTTTTATTACTTTTAAATAAAAAGGCAAAACATATCAAACACCAGCCTAAGTAACTTTAAAACGCATGCTGGTGATTGATTAGTAGATGTGTAGGGATAGAAGAAATGTATTTTGAAATGTGTAAATTGTATCATTTATTATTTATATATACATTTAATTTTTAAAGTGCCTGCCAAGCTCATTGTATCACTTTTTGACAAAGTAAATTGCTAATGTGAGGCTTTCTCCCAGACAGGAAGTACTGTGGGGGCAGAAAAGCTAAAACTGCCCTCCTTTCCCCACAATAGTATTTCTTGATCCAGTCGAGTTCACTGCATTTACTTTAAGTAAAAAAGCCAAAGTCTTAATCACTATCGCATCTTTAAAGTAACGTGTAGTTTGACCTTAAATTCTCCTATAATCCAGTTATATCCCAGCTGGAGTTCCCAGGGCTGAGGGTGGGAAAAGAGCCAGGCCTGCGGTTGTGCTTCTAGCAAGTTTTATATACAGGAATGAGATTTTTCTTAGCATAGAAAAACATGCGCACCAGCAGATTTCTGAACACCATTACTGGAAATGGCGTGCTTCCTTATCTCGCTGAAAAGCTAGTCTAAAATTAATTGAAGGTTGATCATAAGCCTCTTTTAAACTGCAACTGAGGTTTTTAAAAACATTTGGGGATCCTGCTGGTTGGATGTTACCTTAACGATTCCATACAGATGGTCCTTGTGTCTTTCCACAGTTTCTAGCGCAAAGAATAATACCAAAGCACAGACGTCTCCTTCCAAAGGAACACGGTGCTCGGTGCAGCCTCCACTGAAATCGGTTTCACCTGTTCCAACACCCAAAGGCAAGAAACTCACTCGGGGAAAACCACTGGCTCTATCCACTGTCCTTAGGAAAGTCCAGTCTCCCAAAAATATTCCGGTGGCCAAAAACATTTCTCACAAAGAAAACCTCAAGAAAAGGAAAAAGGGCTTAAAACCAGGAAGAAAGGTTAGTAATTTTTTTTTTCCATAGGTGTAATGGTAGGAGAACTTCTGTTTTGTTGATTAATAACTTGCACTCCCCTGCCCTGTGCATGAATGTTTCTTTTCCAAACCCACTTTTCCTATGTTTACATATTATTTTTGAAAGCATTTTCCAAAGTGTTTTAATGCTGTGCAAATGCAAATTATGATTTATAAATTATAGATTTTATTATTTTAATGTATCGAAAGCAAAAGTAAGTTTACTTGGACTTAAATTGCCAGATTTTAAAATCTGTCCTCCTGAGCTACTAATTTTTCTTAATCTGAAAGTGACTGCCAAAGAAAATATGTCTACATTTTTCTTGTTGATTCTCTTCTACTCATGCTATTTAAAGAAAGAAACTTTCTTTAATGGAAATGAGTTGAACTTGATTAATTTAACACTGTGTTTCCTCTCCCCCATGTATATGAATACACACACACACATACACGCAATCTCTGAACTCAGTGGAACTTCCTTTCAGTGGGAGGTATTCAAAGGAAATGGGAATAGAATAGCGGTCCTATAGATCAGCATGTTTCTGCAACTGGTCAAAAGGACATTTACCATAATTTCTACTCTGGTTTTAAAAACTTGCTGAGGCATAAATTTATAGCAGTTGACTAAATCTGCCAAAGATGTCCCTTGCAACACAGGAGTGGTTGCCTTTTTATGTGATGGCCGGGCTTCTGAAAGCTCTCATATGGTTGCTAGTCATAGCTGAGATCATGCTTCTGCCCCTTCTGGAGTACCTCAAATCAGGATTAAATTGTAGATATAAAGCTGCAGATTTTATACTCTTTTGACAGCATTCAGTGATTCACTGTAATAGAGTTTTGTGTCAACAGATAATGACCTAAAGGTGATTTGACTGTTTGCGGAAAAATATATATTTTTACGTTAATAAAAAGTTATTCTTTTTCAACAGAAAAAAAACACAGCAATGCAACCTCCCTCCTTTCCTCCTCCTCCTCCTCCTCTTATTTCTGCAAAAGTGGACAACAGCACCTCTCCAATGTACAGAGAGGCCCCTGGTATCACTGGTGCAATGGCAGCTGTTATTTCAACAGGTAAACTTACCTATTAAAAAAATCTTGTGTATGGCAGATTCTGATTATTCTAGATTTTTTCTAAGGTACTATGGTGTTTTAGAGGGACAAAAACAATTCTAAAAGTAGTTATGAGGTTTTGGAGTCCCAAGAAGGACCCATATAACACTGTTGCTCCATGAGCTGCATTGGGTACCAGTTTGCTTCTGGGTCCAATTCAAGGTGTTGGTTATCACCATTAAAGCCCTACACGGCATGGGACCAGGTTACCTGAGGGACCGCCTCTTCCCCATGATTTCAACCCGTCCCACCCCATCACACAGAGAGGACATGCTCCAGACCCCCTTGGCAAAATAGCTCTGACTAGCAGGGTCCAGAAGGCAGGCCTTCTCTGCTGTAGCCCCTGCTCTTTGGAATATCTTGCCCTCGGAGGTGAGATTGGCCCCCTCACTCCTGGCCTTCCGGAGGGATTTGAAGACCTGGCTCTGCCATCTGGCCTGGGGTAGGGAGGGAAGACATCAGGTGTGGGGTTGGCTAGCCCCTTAGAGCCCTGGCATTTGTTGCTCTGAACCATCGGCCTCCTGGACTCTTTCTTTTTTAGTAATTGTTTCATATAGCTTTTAGGTTTTATATAATTGTATTTTTATTTATTGTTTTAATGAGTTGTAAGCTACCGGGAGCCCCCCATGAGGGGGAGATGGGCGGGGATAAATTTAATAAATAAATAAATAAAAAATAAATATGCATTGCCATTTTATATCAGTTTGAAAAACACTGAATATGTGTTCATCACTGTGCAATTTTTAAAGCAATACTTTATGCAAGTGTCAGTATATATTAAACAAACACATTGTATATGGCGTTAAATGGAATTAAGTTATGCATCTTTGGAAATCTTAATACCAGTTTCTTCTGTGGCATTATTTTCTGTCCTTAGAACAAGTAGATAGTGCCTGAGATAAATAAGACTACTTTTTTCCAAACTATCTTCAGTGTAGCTGTGTGGTTTCTATCTGTCTAATCTCCTGATAATATTTTATTTTTTTCACAACTATTTTCTTGTTTTCAAAATTTCTGTGTAGTTGCTAACCAACCTTTTCTTGTCTTCCACATTCAAATTTCCTTTTAAATTTCCCTTTTCTTTCTCTTTTATTCCCACTGATTATGTCTTCTGACTATATGTACCTTTATTATCCCTGTTCCTCTTTATCATTGTCTCACAACCCTTTTATCCTTCTATTTTAGTCAACCTAGAGCAAAAAAAATAATAATTTCATTCCTATTGCTAATAGTCATTTGTCATCTTTGGTTCTATTTTAATCCAGTTTTTCTGCTTTGAATTTCAGATATGATAAGATGATTCTAAGTTGTGAATGCATTCAATGTGATTTTGACAAAATATTTGCTTATTCCATATCTGGTTGTGGAAGCCAAACCTTGGAGTACTTTGGGGTGGGGATGGGAGGCAGATGTTTGATAAGGGAGAACAAAAGAAAGAGTGATGGAAAAAGAGTTTATATTAGGGCATTCTGTTTTTTCTTTAACTCTGGGAAATGTTGTAGCAAAAAACATGATTGGAACAGCAATAAATGTGAACATGTACTTAATGTGTACATTGTGGTTCATCTAGATATACCCTATAAGTGGAATGCTGGGATCCCAGTTCCTTTTGGGGTTATAAGTCAAGGCAGGATAAGAATTTCTTGGGTAGGCAAAGATGGATTTTATTTGCTGCTGTTCATTTCTCAGAGAGAACCTACATTTTATGTCATTGGGATGCCTTTAATAAAGATAAAGATGTTTTCAGCTTTGAAACCAGTACACTGTGTTTTGTTCTGTTTTTTAGTTTGTGTCTATGTTAACAAACATGGAAATTCTGGGCCTCATCTTGATAAAAAGAAAGTTCAGCAACTTCCTGATCACTTTGGACCAGGTCCTGTGAATGTAGTACTTCAGCAGGCTGTCCAAGCTTGTGTAGATTGTGCCTATCAATCAAAAATTGTCTTTGGATTCCTCAAGGCAGGGCATCATGCAGGAGAGATTATCACTGGTACATTATTCTACTTGACTTATATTTTATATTTCATATTTTTGCATAGACTGCATTTGTGCATAACAATAAATCAGAAATTCTGGTGAACATTTTCATTTCACTTATCCCTTTTAGGTTTGTGAGCCTTGATTTTTTGGCTAATTGGCCGTAATTTAATACTATATGAAGCTGTTCATTTCTGGTTCATTTTACCCTTTTGTACAAAGAGGGGGAAGTAAATGAGTTTTTTTGCACCAGCATAATGTTAACATACAGGATAAGCCAGACTTGTGGCTTGTTGTTAATGGCATATTCAGTAGCAATTAGCCAATTATTTTTGTAAAGTAACCATAATAAATCAGTATTTAAAAAAAAGCAGCAGACAGCGGAATATTTTAAAAGTGAATAAAAACTCTATATACTTGATAATGAACAAGCCTGTAACTTTCTCTATTCTTATATGAGTTATATTCAAATTGACTGCATTTGTCTTGTCTTGTTTTTCCAAAAAAGCACACAGAAATATTTAATATTATAATGTAAAAGCAAAAGCACCTCCGTTTCTTGTGCTTTATCTGAAAACATTTAACCTAAAAAATCTAATGTGTTCAGTTTCCCACTATGAGCTTATGTCTTAGCTGAATGCTGTTTTGGAAAAGTCAGAGTTCTACATAATGTGTCCTCCTTAATTGCTGTGTGCCCTAACAGCTATGAAGTCAATAATTCTCTAATTCAAAATTAGAGTTGCTCCTTGTCACTTTGCTTCTGGCAAAAGCTGTCTTCAGGATACACATTTGGATGCCTGTTTATAATTTTGGGATTAAAAAAGGGTTGTCTTACTTTGTTATATTTTATATTAATGCCAGATGAGACAATTTTCTGTGGTTAATTAAGTTGTCACACCCTATATCTAGCATGATTAAATGGTATCTTCTAGAAGACACTCATCTTCATACAGATGTTCTATAGATGTTTCCACACATAAAGATAGGCTTTTGATATCATAGCAAAATTTCAGAGTTATGAATAATGCTTGTTTGTAAGATAATGTTATTTTACATAGAATATTTATTTGGCTGTGCATTGCTTTGGATTCAAAGATTAAAAAGAATTTTGGAGCATAATGCAGGCACAAACATACCAGCTGCCTACAACTCCTTAAATCAAGCATGTTTTTTTCCAGGATTTATGATAGCTATAGACAGCAGCCTTGGAAAAAGCTCTTAAAAGAGTTGTACCCAGATTCTTCATTGTACCCTGTGCACTCCAAAGAATCCTTTTGCCTTTGAACATAAAGCATTGCACAGCCCTAATATTTATGGCATAATGGAGTATGACAGAGCTAGACATTTCAGTTTTCCATACTGAATTGCAATAGACTTTCTTCACTCATTGCAATATTTTAGTGGGATGTATTTTGCATGTTGTCTATTCCTTAGTTGGGGGTTTATAATTTTTTTTAAAATTCAGGTAACATTATTTAACCTTGTGAAAGTGGAACAAGAGTTCTCAGTCGTGGTCATTGTGCTTTTCTTGGTTGGGAATCGATTGCCCATCCATTCCCAAGTATAAAACGAATAGTTTCAGATTGGCAGCATAGGCCTTAGGGCAGTAGAAATGAGCTGGTGTTCCTAATTGCTACTAATAGCCCAAACAGAACATAGATTTGCAGAGAGGCAGGGAGGAACCCTTAGAACTATCTGTATTTGAATAACATTATATATTCAGGAAATATATAATATTATTCAAATACTTTTAAACTTAAACAGCTTTTAAACATGCTTTTCAAACTTGGCAAAAAAAAAAAAAGAGCATATTGATTAGCACAGAGCTAAACGGTCCAAAGCATTGGGGCTCAGCCTGGTAAAGAAAAGTGCGAAAACTGCTGCCTTCTTTTTATTCCTAAGATTCATTGAATGGGAGATGGCTTCTGTTAGGCACTGGTGGTATTTAATTGTATTTAATAATATTGGTATGCTTTTTTTAAAAACTTTTTACTGACAGCCTCTTTTGATGGGGAGAAACATGCCATCAATCTTCCTTCTGTGAATAGTGCATCTTTTGTTCTGCGCTTCTTGGAGAAACTCTGCCACAGCCTACAGTGTGATAATCTTTTCAGTAGCCAGCCCTTTAGTCCTTACATGGGAAATGCACATAGTCCCATCGAACAGGATAAAAACAAGTCAGGTAATATGCTGATTACTTTAGTTCCTTTCCTTGTTGTAGCTCTTGCATATTTTAGCATTTATGGTTTATATTTAGAAACAACAACAACAACAAAAAAAGCAATTTGCAACAGTAGAACAATCCTTTTGAATCCCAGTGCAAAGTAATTTAGTGAGAATTTTAAAAAGTAGATGGTAGTTTTGCTTTTTCTCCATACATTAAACCCACGTATGTGTAAATACAAGTTCTAAAGTTTTAAAGTATCCTTTGACTTACGGGACATGCTCATGTAATTTTTTTTGGCAACAATACAGAAGATATTGCCATTACTTTTTTCAGGGATTTTGTGTTTGGTTTACTTCCCAGTGTAGTCTGCAGACACGGTATTTCCTGGTAGTCTGATGTCCAAATACCAAGGAGGACTGACCCTATTTAGCTTCTGAGCCCAAAAAAGGTCAGCCATTCTTGCTATCCACTGTAGAATTATAAGTAAGGTACAGTATACTGAAAACCACTGTATTAGGGCTACAAAACAATCCATACTCAAAGAAGAAAATGGGATTCAGAATATGCATGTTATAGCTATTGGCAGCTCTTTAAATCAAACATGTTTTCCTAGGAGCCCCAGAAAAGATGCAGCTTCCTTCACAAGTTGCCGACCATTGTGATGTGAGTTCCCACATCCATTCAGAAACACCTTTTCCCCTCCGAATCAAAATTATTGGACAGTCCTACTATGGATATGTGACTACCATGATAAGAGAAGAAAATAGGGTGATAAATTCTTTAGTTTACAGTTGCCTGTTGAAATCTGTTGATCTGAAATAAGTATCTGTAGATCTTTATGCCTTTAAATGCTTAGCTTACACAGTCCTGATTTCACATTGCTTACTTGCTTGTAGTCAGCTAATCAGGTGCGATGCAGGTTTTTAGCTTTATTCCTGTAATGACCAAACAACCACTAGCATTGTGGCTATCAACCAAGGATTTTTGTCTATTTCGATGGATATAATCAAAACTAGGGCAATGCCAAGACTTACCACTTGCTTCACAGCCAGATCCCCCAGCTTGGAAGCTGACTTGTCTTGTCCAAAGGGAGGAGACTTGTCTCATTTTATTCCTGATTCTGGTGAACTGGAAAAACTAGAACGTTGTCTTTCATTATCTAACATGAAGGGGAAAAGAACCCTAAAGGTGGTTTTAACATGGAATAACATTTACATGGAATTTAGTGGAAGAAATTAGTGCAGCTATTTCCAACGTATACTTTACACATTTGGGTTATGGTCCATAACCTTTTTATTCTTCATCAAATGGAACAAAACTTCTAGGAAAGATGAGCTACTGTGATGGGATGAAGTATGTCAAATTGCACAGAAATCAGTTTTCTATGTTTTTTGAGCATAGCACATGCTCCTTCAGAGCTTTTCTTCAGCATTCCAAGTCATCCTTTGCCAGTTCAATTTGTCTGAGATGCCAGCCGTGTGTGAGAATAGGAGAAATTAAGGAAGAAATCTGTTCACAATAAAGGGTTATTGAGCATATCACCATGCATAAAGAAAACCTGTCCAGCAATGAGATGTGATTGTCACAACAACAATAATACCTTTATTGATCATCACTTACCCAAACCACAATGATTAGGATGACCGATTGCAAGGATCATTCAGTGAGGAAAGACCAGTTACGGTTCACTAAGATATTATATGAACAGGTGCCAAAAATGACTATTTTATACCTTCCTTCTATTTTTGGCATGCAGTACAACGCCATGCCCTTAACAACACACTGACATTTTGAATTATACAGGATGTTCCAAAAGTCAGGCCCCATAGACAGTTTATTATATAAACTACATTAACATTACATCTTCTTCTAAATACTTCCTTGTTTCATGCATGACCTTTAAACGTTCCTAAGTACAGTAACATTTCTTCTGAAAAAAAATTAATAAACCATGGTTATTGGCCTATGGGGCTTGGCTTTTGGTAAACCCTGTATATTACAATTCTGACTCAGAAACTGGATGAGTAAGTTCTGTCCTATTTCAGGTGAATTAAAAACCACATGGCTTACTATATTCTGCTTTGGGATCAGGATTCATGCTGTGCTGGAGCATAGCCTTATAAATATAATGCTAAATGCTTGGATCACAGACAATTTGCAGTTATGTGGACTTCACAATATAAATATATTAGGATTTCTATTAGAATTGAAAAGAAACAAGCCTAATATATGCTAAGTATAATTAAACCGATGTTAATTCCACATGCTGTATACAAAGAACAGAACAGATATTCTTTCAAAATGATATTTGGGATGTTCACATTTCAGCCCACAAAATACTACCCTGTATGTATTTGAGATTGATCTTTAAACTGTGGTGGACTCGTAGCTTTAATTATAGCTATATTTTGCCTTTAGTTTATGGAGAGGAATTTTCATTACAGTCATTAAATTACCTTGCAGTGCCAGGACAGATATGCAGTTTCTTCCCACTTTATTAAAACTTCCTTCTGTAACATTGAAAATTGTAACTGAGTGGTAACATGTGGAGAGTTAGGGGGCTCACCAGAGGCTTTGATGGACTTCATATTATCCTCTAATTATGTGTCTTTGCAATTTAATATACAAACAATGTGCTTGCCAAAATTGTGGCTTGCGTAAGTTAGAGAATGTAGAAATAGAGAAAAACTAATTATGCCCATAACTATTTGTCTCTTTCCCCATTCTTGAAAGTTGGCATATACGTGACATCTGCATATTCACAAAAAAGGGGCAAGGTGGTTCAATATGGATGTTTTAATTATTGCCTATTTTGCCAATTACACACTAAAATGAGAAAATTAGTTTCAGTTCACTAGTTTGTGGTGTGCTTCTGATTTAGTCCTCATTATGGAAAAAAGTGTCCACTCTTTGTGTGAGTTATATCATATTTATTTCTCATAGTTAAGTTCCTCATTGGGAATGCTTTGAAGTAAATATTGTAGAAAAATACATGGGCTGAAAGAATTGTATCACAGTGAAGTGAAAGATCCATGTGCATTTTCCATGGAAAGATTGATGAGGTAGGTACTATTAGCTAATGTAGCCCTTCATCCATCCATCTTGTATTCCATGTGTGTCTAGAGAAGCTTTCTTGAACCTGCTGTGACTGCTAATCTGGGGCATCTTGCCGTATCTACTGATTCTAAACCATTTCTTGGAGGAAACTTGCTACCATAGAAATTTGAAATTTTTGTAAAGTGAACCTTTAACTGTGTATATATTTGAATTATTGCATGTATTTATAGAACTTTAATCCCCTTTGATTATACAGCAAAAGAAGAAATATCAGACAGCAGAAGTACAAAGCGATATTCTCAGGATTCACCCCCCTATGCTGTCCCCCTATCTCCTAAGCTTCTAAGAACTGAAGCTCATCCATCTGAAGGTAATTGAAAATTAAATATCTTCATTTACAGTAGGGATAAACTACCTTTTTCATTCTAGGAACCGGATGTTCTGCATCTTCTTGCTAAGGGTCATTGCTGTGCTGTCAACGGGCTGGGTGGAATTGATATTTTTGGATCAGTTTGTGGAGGGGCAAGGGCTGAAATTGGTGCATTAAGTCTTGCAGAGACTTAAGTTAAACATTTTGCCCTATGCAGAAAACAGCCCCCGCCCCCATTTATTTGGTTTTCTGTGAAAGAGATGCTAAAACTTTGCAAGACTTAAGGCACCCAAAGGACCTAAAATGTGATCCTGCCACAAATCATATGATGGAGCTGTCCATTCAAATGTACAAAATAAATAAGTCAGTCAATCACACTTCACTACGTTTCTGGACATCCTATCCAGAAGCACACATTCAAATTTTACACACAGTCAAGGCTTCCATACAGTAGCAGTGAGAAGCGTTTAGGCCTGTAGAATTTACTTTATTTGTTAATGGAAATTTCAGATCCACCAACCAGATTAGAATTAAATACTTCTAAACTCAGGAATGTATTTTAAGTATCAAAATGAGTTCAGTTCTTCCAGACAAAAAACAACAATAGTACCAGGGATGAGAGAAGGAAGGAGAGCTGTTTTGATGTGATATATCAAATTGGGAATTGATGTTCTGAAAATCACTGAGAGGTCTAAATCCAAATTTAGCAGCCTCTCTTATTAGGAAGAAGGGTGTCATTCAACATGCCATAAGAATTGATATGTGCAGTTTCCCTCACTGTAGACCATGACATGTGTACGAATAATGGAAATGGATCAGTAGGGGTAAAGCATTTTTTTCAATCTCATATGGAATCATAGAGAAAGACAATCTGCTTTATTGAATATCAGAGAGGTACATGAAGCCCAAAGCACTCTTTTCAAATCATTTTTGAAGTTGGCAAGCTGTTTGCCTATCCATATAGAGAGAGACCTGCCATAGCCTACCAATTCACATTCCTTTTAAACAGTTCAGAAGAATCTTCACCTGCCCCACTGTTCTTCCAATTTTCAGTTAATTAATCAATTTGTGCATTTTTTAAGAAGTAACTGGCATAAATTTAGGTAATAAATTATTGTTTTGGGAGTCAACACAGGATTCTGCTTTGGTGCATATAAGCATGCAAAAGTGCCTTTCCTAAACTTTGGCTTCAATTTGACAATCCATTCTTATTTCTTTACCTTTTAGACAGCTCACTACCAATGTCAAGAAATTTGATAAGTTGTTAGATTTTAATACTTGGATCATTTTCTTTTGTGTTTCTCTTTCAGCATTTTTTCCCCTTCTTTTTCACAGTATTTCCGATTTAAATGACATGGAGTGGCCAGTAAGGTTGAAAAGTTAGTCATACTATATTCCCTACAGAGCTGTTAACCTATTTATCTTGGTAATATTTTGTTAAGTAGGGAATATTTATTCTCATTTTACACCTGGGAGTTAAAGAAAAGGCAAACTTTCAAGTAAAATCTTTGTAGTAGACATCACTTTAAAGCCTATCTCTTACTAATAATCTGTTTGTATTAAATTCTGTATAGCAGAAACCCTGCCAAATGAAGAAAATGGTACATCCAAGGAGCAGAGGTTTGCTGAGAATTCAATGGATTCTGCACTTAATTCAGTCGCCCTATCAAGTCCAAGCCATCAGAGTTCCACTGAATATCGTACCTCAGGGAACACAGCCTATTTCAGACATTCTCTTCCTTCAGTATCTGCTACCTCAAATGCAGCACCAAATCTACAGAAATTATCAACTGCTACTGGAAACAGAAGTTACTGTGAAGTTGGCAGGAACAGATTGCATCAGAGGATCGAAGGTATACTTGAGCCTTTTCTAAAAGTACATGCTTTGTTTGTCTGCACAACAATATGTATATTCACAAAACTGGCCCTAAAAGCACTTTAATATTTTAAGTGTGCAAAAGGAGCCAGCAAATTTAGCAGACATGCCCAAACCAGAATCTTACTTTGCTCTACTGACATTCTTTAGCTACCCCCAGCCTGTGCCAAGTAATTTAACATTTATTGCAAGCAAGCAAGCAAGCGAATAAGAATAAGAAGAATCACACAAATTGTGCTTATCTGTGTTCTGCTTCTGGATGTCTCTTGAGGTAGTCACTATGCCTTATTTGAATCGCAACATAATTCTGTGGTTCAAACCATAACTTATGATTTCAGGCAAAATGAACATTTTTGCTCTATTTTGTAAATGCTACTTGACATGTTGTTCCATGTAGAAAAATCCAACACAGAGGAGTTTTAAGGGCAAACATGTATGATTAAGTACTAGCAGAAACAAGCTCTTATCATGGCTTTTCTAAACCTAGTACTCTCTAGGTGTGTTAAAATAACAGTTTACAGAATTTTGAACTAATATTCTCAGAAGCCATAATAACTAGGAATTTTGGGAGTCAACATCTGGGAAGGCACCAGGTTGGGAAAGCTGCCTTCCCACATTGTATTTTGTGTGTGTGTCTGTTATGTATTGTTTGCCACTGCATTAACAGTAGCAAAGGTATTTTCAGATTATGCTCATAAAGCAGGAAAAGGTAATTTTATGATATATTTTGCTTTCTATTAATCAATAAATATAAAAGCTATGTGAATGCATGCACACATCCCCAAAATGGGTTACATCAAAGATATTTCTCCAGCTTCTTCAGTTTCATCCTTTTGTATATTTAAGCTGCAAGCTCTACAACAGGACCTGACCTCAGTGCACTAAAACAGGAACCTTCCCGTCTCTTCAGCAAAGACCCTTCGACATGGTCAATTGATGAAGTAATGCGATTTGTAAAAGAAGCAGATCCTCAGGCATTAGCACCCCATGCAGAACTCTTCAGGAGACATGTAAGAAAAGCAGAGCTTATTTTTTATAACGCCTAGGAATCATATGAAATAGAAGTATTCCAGTATATCTCTGAAATCTGATAGGATTTTTTTCTCCAAAAGAGTATTAAAAGTAGGAAACCAGCACTAAAGTTTGCACTAGGAAAGAGTTTTGTGTCAATGTAAATTTTACTTGATGCAGAATTAGCCTTAAAAATAGATTTAGTCCTGATGTCCCATGAATTTTTGCTCTGCCTGGGGGCAACTGTTTTTAATTACACAAAAATATACAGAGAAAAATCTTACAACAGGAAAACATAATTTGATCCATGCAAAATGTTCTTTCTTCCCTGTTGAAGAATTTGATAGGATTAAAATGGATTCCAGTTAGTTTACCTATTTGTTAGTTTCAGTTTTCCAAACTGATATCATAGGTGAGTAAGACCACTGAGATACTGTTATAGGGACAAAGAATTCATTAGACCTCCTCTTAGATCAGAGATAGAACTGAAAAAAAATCAGATTTTCAAATTCCAGATCCTGCTTCCTCCATCAGCATCAGAGGTCAACTGTTCCTAACATTAGAAAGGTCAAAAAGGGATATAACGGATGTGGGTTGAGGATCTGGAGATGTTTCAGGCCACTAATAATTTGACCTTGAAAAAAAGGTTAAATGTTTATCCATCACCACCATGGAGATGGATTCAGTGGAGCCCTCTGACAGCCAGTGAAGTGAATTGTTTAAAAAAATAATGAGAACTGAAATAGCATAGAAATAGGGTCCTGCAGATCCAAAGCAGGCAAAGTTGCTTTTGATCTGGCATGAGCACCTTTGCTTGTCCTTAACAGCTGTTATTTATTTATTTATTAAACTTGTATATTGCCCGATTCCCAACAACTCTGGGCAGCTCAAAAATCAAACAAAGAAATTGCAGTTAAATCAATTTAAGATGAAAGATGGCAAGTGAGGGGTCTTACTCTCCCTCACCAAATGCCTGGGTGAACTTTTTCCTGAGCTTACACAGGATATGGGCAGGCTCAGGAAGCTCCTCCATGTTCTGCATTAAGGAAGTGGACAGGGTGCAACTATACCAGATCCAAAGCTGCTTTGCCTAGTTCATATCATAATACTGCACCTTTCTATACAAATAACTGATTCTGTAAATAAATTAAATATACACAAATTATACTAAGAGTCACTGATAGTGAGATGGGCAGCATATACATTTGATTTATAAATAAATAATATAAATTCTGAAGGTTTGTCAATCTCTTATGATAATTTCCAAGATGTTCAGATTTGACTCTCCATTTTTTCTCTTGTTGGAAGAGATGATGATGTGGGGGAGGGAAGTTGTGTTTGTGTTAGTCTAGAGTAATATTCTTGTTCTGAAACCTAGTCATTAATTACTGCTATCTTGTTTCCTCACAGGAAATTGATGGGAAGGCTCTTCTGTTACTGAGGAGTGATATGATAATGAAGTATATGGGTCTGAAATTGGGCCCAGCATTAAAACTGTGTTATCATATAGAAAGACTTAAACAAGGAAAGTTCTAGGCAGTAAATGCACAGTGATGATGTATTTTAAGTAGACAACCCCTCAGGTTCCAAAGGCAGCATGATAGGGCAGAAATGTTGCCTGATTGAATGGATCAAAAATAGTTTCATTCAGCTCACAAAGGCATTTCCAGCATATTGTTTCTACTACTCTAATCAGAAAGAAATGTCCTAAATCAGCATTGTTTTACAGATACTTCTTAAACATGAAATTTAATGTCAAAAGTTTCACGTTCTTATATTTAAAAACTTTTTAAAATGTGCAGAGAAGTAGTATTTATATGAGCAGCTGCAAAATACATTCTCACCTGTTCAGCTTCAACCGATGCATTTTCATCCAGAACCAAAACAGCTGAATTCCAAAGGATCTTTTTTCTTTTAAACAAAAAACAAAAAAAGGGAAGTTTTTGTAAAAGTGGCTGAATTTATATGCTGGGGTGAGGGAAGTATTATTTTTAATCGATTAACTCTTTAGTTAACATAATCACATATATATATATTATGTGAAGCAGATTTCCATAAAAAGAATAGCCATATGAATTGTATTGTAAGTATATGTTGTGTGCAGAAAAACAAATAAGTTTTTTTTTTACAAGTTTAAATTATGAGAATACATTTTTGCAGTGTTGACAATTTAAGGGGGAAATATTTCTTTTTTTTAAGAAGGAATTTTTGATGGCTGATTTGAGCAGCCAACTCCCAAGGTGAGCAAATACTTTTTCAGTTTGCTCACAGGGATACAAGAAACATTGTATTGAGACATTCCATCTAGCATAAACCTATGTTCATGCACTTGTATATTTATGTGTGTGGGTACATGCATATATATATTGTACATAGTGTTCAATTTTTCTTTAAAGAGTGTTTTAAAGGTATTTTTGCACTGTGACAAATGATAAACTGCAGAATTTTTTGTTTTTTGTTTTGTTTTTAAACCAGTAAACAAAATGTGCATTACACATTTTGTCACTAGTTTACAGGTGTTAATATAGCATCAAGCTGTGTCCTAAGACCATCACATTTGTTCCAGTACAGCACAGGGTCACATAATGTTGAGATTCCCTGCTGGTGGAATGTGGAAGACAACTGCCTAAATATATTTCCTTTCCCATTCTAAAACATGATTTTATGCCACCAGGGAGGAATACAATGAAACCCATTATCAGGTGTATGATCTAGAAGGGTTTCAGCGTGTGTAGAGTTTTTAATTAGTTGTAAGGCTTTACCTTCAGGCACCCTTCACCGCATGTGAATGGTCTTTGCTGGATGAATGTGTCCTCGTACTGTTCACTAACGCCTGTCTGCTTTGTTTCTCATTTCATGGTGGGGGATGGAGAGGAGGGGAATGGGAGAAGAAGAAATAACTGATGAACAGATTCATACAGGGGAACTTTTGGCACTATGCAATATTCCTGAATTCTCATGTTGTGCTGAGCCATTTTATTCTGGGAAAGTATCTGGAAAAGAATGGAGTGATGGGGAGAGGTGAAGCTGGATGTCTTTTTCTCTTTGCCTCCCTAATGTCTTTCAAATATAAAAATGTCAGGGACTTCTTTTAACAGAGGAATTGAATTACACTTGGATGTATAATTTATCTGAACCTTGGTGCTCTGTCCATAAGCAAAAAGTGTTGATGGTAAAACACTTTGCCGTCACTGCCAGTATAATATCAGGGACAATTATGTACTTTTTCTGAGTAGAGGATCAGATGTTCTGTTTGTCCAAGTGTTGCTAGGAAAGATATAGTCCTGAAAGGAATGTAGTTTTTATATTTCTTATTGCCTTTTTATATAAAAAACTTCTAGTTAAAAAACACACATTAGTTGTTTAAAAATGCCTTGTTTATTGTATTAGTGTATTTATTAGTAATACACTAATTACTCAGGTTTAGCTTTAAAAAATGGCAAAATTTTAAACCATTTTTGAAGAGATGTATTTCTTTAAATTACTGAGGCGGAATTTAAATGAGATCACTTTGGTGATGTCCTGTTTTCTGATGGAATTCTGGCACTCATATTATACCAGCAAAATTTTGCTTCTCATAAGAGCGTACAACAGCTCCAATATATAGCTTTGTTAAACTGTTGCAGTTATTTATATATGCTCAGGTATTTACAAACAAGCTGTAAAGGCTGTGATATCTTTCATATCTTTTGATGCTTATTTCTTTCAGTCAATGTTATGATAGCATATATTTGGCATATCATAGTGGTTGTGTTCTTTAAGAGTGACATATATTATGCCAATGAACTTCCACTAGTGCCATGGGAATTTATCTTGTTCTCCTTCGTCTTGAATCTATATGCTTCTAAATTCATTCTGGAGAATCCAGCAGATTTGAAGGACATGTTGGCAGTGGGAGAAAACAGTCAAATATGGATACTAAAGAAGACATTGAGTAGGGCTTGTTTCACACACTGTTAAAGGATATTTTAAAATTGTACTCAAATACCAATCAATTTTACACACATCTGTTGTTTTCTATACTCAATTGCAGATGAAATTTCATAAATGTTATTCAAGGAATTTTATATAAGTTAAAAGTGGTTGTAAAACTTTATAAACACAATATTTTATGCCATGAGGTTTGTCTTATTCATTTTGCTAATGTGTCTTTGAATAGTGCAAATAATGTATAGTGCATCATGTATACAAACCTACATATGAAACAAGAATGCCACTGAAATTTTAACTTTGTATATAACATGATACAAATTTGTCTGGTGTTTGTAACAGAATATATTTTTCACTATTTTCAACTGGATGTTCTCGTCTAAGGAGAAAATAAAAGTTGTTTGCTGTTTGTCAGTTATTTTTTGTAATATAATGTCTACTTACATCTTACATAACTAAATAACCAACCTTTGGTATTTACTAATAGATCAATTAAAGTATACTTTGATTAGATCCTTTCAAACCTAACACATGTACTAATTTTCTCTCTCTATATATATATCTTGTATTATATATTGATCTTTGAAACAACACAAAGAATCTTTAATAAAGTGAAATTCTAGACACTGACATTACATAAATTATCACCTTCCTTCAAAAATAGGATCAGCTAATCTGGATGTGAACACTTCTAGAAATAGATGGGTTTTACTGATGATTGTAATATCAAATGAGATAACTGCTTCAAGGAAATTCTAAATGCTCTTGTTGCATAATCCATAGAATTTGTCAGAAGAAGCAAGAGTAAAACCTAGAGGGCAATCTGTTCGTCAATTGCTTATGCTACAATTAAAAATAAAGATCTTCTAAAGACCTTGCACCAATTTAGCACAGCGGTTTTTGATGAAATATTTGAATTCTTAATGTGTGTGTGGGGGTATGTTCAGATGATGCAGTGTGGTGGTGAAGGTGTTGACTAGGGCCAGGGAGGGTTAGGGCCAGTCACTCTCAACCAGGACTGTTGTGGCAAACATTGTTGGACAGAGTGCTATTCATGCTGCTTAGAGCCCCTGGAGGAAAGGCAGAATATAAATATAAATAAATAAATTGGGACTCTAAATTCTAACTCATTTTATCAGTACACATGAAACAATGGGAAGAGAAGGCAGTTCAGTGACAGAGCAAATTCTCTGCATACAGAAAGTCCTAGGTTCAGTCATATTTCCTAGGTACTTCCAGGATGAGTCAAACCCCTAGGTTTCTGCCAATCATTATAAACAGCAGTAAACCTGTAAGTCAATGGTTTCTTGTCTGTCCATAGATGGACAATACTTATGCTATAACAAAGGGCATTTGATCCTCCAGTATTTGCTACATTTTGCCTGCCATAGAATACAGAATGGAATGCCAAACAGTCACCCCACTTAAAGTAATGTATAAAACAATGCAATGCTGTTGCTGAAGCAATCTTAATGATCGTTGTTACTCTTAACAAAGCCTAAAACTAGGTTAGTTTAGAACAGATATTTCCTTCTGAGAATAAGGACAATTGCAGCAACCTGGAGTGACTTCCAAGCATCCAAGCAGTAGGGATTAGTCTTTAATAAGGCTTGGCTGCTTGCAACTGCAGATACTGCTTTCCTGTGCAGAGCGGTAGTTTTTCTAAATTCCCCTGTTGTACTGATGAACCATATGACTAGCCACGATGAAATCAGTTGATCATGAAATGGAAACAAGATGTCATCAAAATAGTATTTGCTATCTCCTTATAGGAACATAATAGATGTAACCAAAACAAGAATAGTTTAACTAGCAGAACTCTGTTTTGCTACAGGCCAATGAGAAAATGATCAAAGAAAAACACCCTATTGGACCATCACTGTAACTCTAGGAGCATTGAGTATATATACACTGATGGGGATATGGGAAATCGAGCCTACTGAATAAGTAAAGCATTCAGTAAAGGATTTTAGATTGTTAAGCACAGAATTAAGATGCTCTGTAGGTGTCTCATTAGCTGCCAAAACTAGACAAACTGCTGTAGACCTCCAAATGTTAGAACCAACTTCAAATACTATGATTATTATTTAGTTACAATTACTGGATATTTTATTATGGCAACCTCAAAAAAGTTGCTCAGTTTTTCATGCAGTTCTGTGCAGTTTCTATGTCCTGCTCCTTATTTGGCTATGTTTATATCTTAGGTTTATCACAGGAGTTGTAGTTAACTCAGCCATTTACCACATAGCAAATTATGAAATGTTGGTTCATAGGAAAAAAAAAAAAAGTGTTTTACCATGATGTTATTTCAAGCAAAATAAATCCTACAGTAGCGTTTGCAGCATAGTTAAGCAAAAAGATTCTAAATTCAAAATCTGTCGATCAGCCTTACCGCAGTATTAGAAAAATTGCAGCATCAGTTCATGCTGAAAACATGCACGTGTACACATAGCAAATATGTGAATGGAAGTTGGCCCTTAGCAAAGCTGAGTTCCTATTACTTGATCCCCCCCCCATAAATAAATGTGGATTCTGTATTCCGTATTCAGAACTATTATAAGACTTTTCCCAGTTCAACACCTGCAATCCAAAAAAAAAAAAGTAATAGCTCCTTTTAGTGTGACAGAAGATTGGAGTGGTACCATCCCAACAAAAAATAATGTAAATTGATAAATCCTGACTGCATTTTATGATACGAGTGGATTGTCTTAATGAATGCAGTCAGCTATAAAACACTGTAATTTGATGTGATTGTAGCTTCAGTATGTTGCAACTGAGAAGTGCAGCTTGCACTTACTGTGATAGATAAAAGGAAAAAAACCATCGGTTTCATTATTTATGATAAAAGTTTCTAGTACATGGTTTCATTTCTTCAACATGTTAAAAGGAGCTAAAACCAATTTTATTTGACTGCAATATTTTGGTTAATGCATACAAAATAATTTTTAAAAAACAACCAAGAAACCACAGTTAAAACAAGCATTTCATGAGAAGCATTGCACTAACTAAAACTGAGAAAAAGATTTCCACCAGAATTTCAAACAATATTTCATCAGTACTGTTTCAAATCTTATATCACCTCCATATTGAGATAAGGAAAATGTACAGAACTGCATGTTATCTGCATAGTAATGAAAATCCATCTAATGTCCTGGATGGAATTTCCAATTATTTCATGTAGATATTTAAAAGCATAAA